CGACTTATGTTAGTCGACATATGTACGTCGACTCAGACGAGAGCCAGGATCCTTGACCGTGAGTATCGTGAAGAGCCTTATTGGAGGAGTCGACTTTGTTAAAGTCGACTTGATAATTTCTGAACCGTGATGATACGGACCGTTATGAGCCAGTGTGGCTATATCAACATGTATATTCCCTTACAAGAGGTACTATATATCTGGAGTCCAAGTGCAGCCGACAAACCCACAATATCAAATTAGCAATTATGCATTCACATGGAAAATATGTTATGATTCTCTTGTTGAGGCATATCCAGAATCATTGCCACCGATGCTACCTTGCACAATACAGCTCCAGCAGTATGAAAATCTTGTATCCTTTGCAGAGACTGAAAATTTATAGAATAATTCATCATTTCTGAGCTAGCATAACTTAAATAATCTAATATTTTTTTTGTCATATTTTATTACACAAAAGTCATGTGCCTTAGCTATTTTTAAAAATTATATTTTAAAAATCCACTCTTTCATTTTGTAGATGTCATGGGCATTTTTGTGCACGCAATACCAAAATCATGAGAATCAAACACAAGAGATCTGGTTATTATAAATGAAAAGTGAGTATGCATTTTTTTTTTTTAAAAAAAAAAACAAAGCATGTAATAATAAAAAAGGCATGCTTAGGTTTATGATTTCACTTCTTATTTTCCAACACAAAAATTGTATATAATTGTAACATTGATGCCTTTGATGCAGAAACAAACCAATGGTACTCGCCCTTTGGAATGAATTTGTATCACATGAAGGTTAAGAGTTGGCAGCCACAATTCCTACTGGTAATACTGTTATCGCTATGAGAGTCAAGGACCTCAAGGTCACTACTTTTAATTGTAAGTATTTGTTTTCTTTCTATTCTTTAATTCTACATATAATTATATGTATGGCAAAATTAGTTTTCCTATATAAAATTATTTAACATCCAACTATATATAATTGTGTAATCTCTCATTGTTTACAATAAAATTTTTTATCACAAAGAGTGCTATCACTAAGAACATATGTGAACGGTATAATAATCAACCCACCATTTCCTCAGGCACCTGTTTTAAAACAATGGTATATATAACAATAATTTTTTT